CCCCAGTCCCACAGAGCCTAGGGCTCTGTTCTAAGCAGATGCTAAGAAAACTTAGAGGAAACTGCCCTTCATCATTACAGCTAGTCTTACGCTGTCCTACAGCTGTAAATACAGCAGGCCACAGTCACAAAGCATGCCGGCACCAGGCAGCAGTGCCTTGAGGGGTGCAAACTCACTCTGGCAGATGTGTGTGGGGTGGGGGGGTGTACACGGAGTGTGTGGTGGGGTGGGGTGCAATGCAGCCCCAAGATTCTGGGGCCCAAACCCCTGCGCTGCCATTAATCAATAGCCCAGGGCAAAAGTATCATTTCCATTAGAAAACCAGAAAAATCAAGTAATTACGTAAGGCCTCCAAGCTTCAGGCTCATCAGGCCTGTCTCCTGGGGCAGGCAGGAAGATTCAGCGAGTGGCCAGCTTCATATACAATACGTAAGGCAATCCCTGCACATGGCCAGCGATCCACAGGTTTCAGTGATTTCTTTTTGTATTATTACAACATCCAGAATCGAGTCCCACAGCAGGGCTTGTGCAGGACACTGCCTCCCATCTGGTCAGTCCCCTTCACGTGGCGCCGTGCTGCCCACAGCAGAGGCAGCTGCTGTGCAGGGCACTGCGGACGCACAAAAAGCAAGGCAAGCGGTGGCAGCCAGCCCCGACGCGAGGCGGCCTCCGCAGGAGAGGCCCTAAGAAGAAAACCAAGCACAGCGTGGGAGAGAGGGGCCGTGAGGGCCCCGAGGCCACAGCAGCAGGGGCAGCTTCTCGGTGAGATGACAGGCAGGCTGGGACCCACAGGAGAGAAACAAGCACCTCCGCCTCTGGGACGGTGAGAGAGTCCAGTGCTCTTGCCAGATGGAACCCCTAGGACAAAGGTTCCAAGGAGGAGTGAGCCCAGGTGTCAGAGGAAGGGCCTGTGGCCTGTTTCTGCAGTGACCAGGTGGAAGGCACACAAAAGTTAGAAGAGGCTCTTCTGTATCTTTCTGGGTCCTCCCCCTGGAGATCACTGTCCACCAAATCCAGCACCACTCACCCCACCTCCCGCAAGAGCCAAAGCCACAGCTTAGAACAGCAAACCAGCACTCCTCAGCATGCGCAGACCAGAAGACGCAGAAGCTTTTGCTATGCCCCTGAAGCACTGCAGGGAACCAGTGACTCTTCTAGAAACCTACTATTCATTCGAAAGGTTAGAGGAGGAATGTTTTAGGCCAGACTGGACCTCACTCCAACAAGCTGATAAGGTAAATCTGGGCCTTTACAGTTTGCATATGCATATTACCATACATTCATTAACCTCCTGTGGAGAAGGAAATGGCAACCCACTCCAGTATTCTTGCCTAGACAATCCTGTGGACAGAGGCGCATGGAGGGCTGCTGTGCATAGAATCACACAGAGTTGGACAGGACTGAAGCGACTTAGCATGCATGCGCTCAGTGGAGAAGGAAATGGCAACCCACTCCAGTATTCTTGCCTGGAGAATCCCAGGGACACAGGAGCCTGGTGGGCTGCCGTCTATAGGGTCGCACAGAGTCGGACACGACTGAAGCCAACTTAGCAGCAGCAGCATTAACTTCCTGAAGAGGATTCAGACGGGCAGTGAAGACCCTTGTTAAAAAGCCCAGCTTCCAAGGTTCAGACCCAGCGTGCACATCCACCTCCACTGTGACACCACCAGTGTCAGGCCCTGTGCCACAGCCAAGCTGGGCCCCCTGAGCAAGGCTGGGATGTAGTGCTGACGCAGGTCTGGGGGTGCTCGGGGACTTGAGGCCTCCACTCTCACTGGTCTCTGCTCCTCCTACACCTTCCCAGGAGTTTTGGTCCTTGTCTTCAAGCCTCCCTCTGCATCATCTTAAAACTCTGGTGACTTAAGACAGTCACCAAGGCCTCCACCTTCATCTCTCGTCTCTCTAATGCCCCTGTCACAAAGGTGGTTGCTCCTGTGGCTTCAGCAGGAAGCAGGATATGGCACAAAGAGGACAGTGAAGTTAGCCAGATCTGAGACTCCCACACCAGGCCCCTCTCATAGCCTGGGGCCGCTCTCTCCCTGGGTGTCATTTTCTGTCCCAGTGAGACAGGTTCGCCCGCCTGTGACTATGAGAGCCTGACGGGGTCAGTCTAAGCACACCCGCTGACCCTCGGATCTCCCCCATCAGTCCAACCTCCCGCCACATACCTCTCGAACAAACCCCAGCACATCATACTGAGTTGCGGAGGGGTGGGTAAATAAAGGGATGAAGTTCCCTGTGAGGGTCCCTGAGGGGACTCAGTCGCACAAGTCTGGGAGGAGGAAAAGTGAAGGGAGACTTCCCCAAGGAAGTGCTGTGTGAGGACAGGCTGTCCATCTGTACTTAGCGCTCCATGTGGCTGAGCACTAAGCAAGGCAGGAAATATGACTGCACCCGCCCTAACACTTCAGGCACCCTGAGTGGAAACTGGTCTCCAGTGCCCAGCAGACGGCGGAACAGGGCAAGACTGTCTCTCGTTCCCTACTGTTCCCCCAAGCCCTCGCATAGCACTCGGGACAATGTGACCGCTGAGGATACGTGTAACGAGTTGTAATGAGAAACCTCGTTTTCCCTTCCTGAGTAGGACGGAATCCCAGTTGGCTGGAGACCTCTTCTCCGCTGGGCATCAGCACAGAGCAGATTCACAGCTGTGTATTCAAGAAGCGAAGGCCTCCCTCCTCACCAGGCCCGATCCCGTCCTACAGACCCCCACACACCCTGCCGCCCCTCTACGCTGGAAGGGGAGACGCCACGGTTCCACGGTGCTCCGCCTTCAAGTCGGGGATACAGGCTCACGACGTCGGCAGAGGGGAACGACTACAGTCTGGCCCCGCCCGACCGCACAGCGGAGAGACCCGGCTCGGCACACGGCACGGTCGCCAACCCCCCCACCTCCCCGGGTCCAATTCCCGTCAAAACCAGCCGCACCCGGGATCACAGCCGCGCCAGGTCCTCCCGCGCCGGCTGCCGGAAGTTGCAGTCTGCGGGCCGGAAACTGCGGCCGCAGGCCGGCCCCTCTCCCCTCGCGCCCGCCCCGCCCCCGCCTCGCGCCACCGAAGGCCGCAGAAGCTAGCACTGGGCTCCGGAGCGGCCGCCACGTCCCAGAGGGACCCTCGGCACCCTGGCCGGACCAACTATCTGCTCCCGCGGTCTGAGCGGCGGCCCGCGGTCACCGGGGTCTCACTTACTAGCGCTATGGTCGCCGTCGCCATCTTGTTCCCGTCGCGGCCGCCGCGCGCGCCACACGCTTCGGTTTCTTCCGCGGTCTCGCGCGATCTAGGCGCCGGCGGAGGCGCTCTCAAGAGAACGGAACTCTCGCGATTAAAGGCCCTTTCCCCAGCGACGTGGAAGGAAAAAGGAACGCGCTTCCGGTGCGGGGAGGAACAGTTAACGCTCTGGGAAGGGCGCGCGGAAGGGGCGGGGGCGGGGCGCCCCGCCCCGCCTCTGCGGGCCGCCAGCACCGCCCTCCGCCGGCCAGTTAGCGTCTCAGGTCGCCCCTCCCCTCTCCTCTCGCGGCCGCCTTCCTTTCGCTACTCGGTTTTTCTGTCTCCTTTGCAGGAAAACCCGAGGCCGGGCACAGACGACCGGATCCTCTCTAGAGCTCTAAGAATCGCCTTTTTTCGGACTCAGATTTGGAAATGCCTCTTTGCATCGTATCTCTGAATGCGCCTACCAATGCATGGTACCAATGCATGACCCTGTTATGGTCGCATTTTCTCTTTCCAAATGATTCAGAAAACAGTAGTGCATTTTAAAACTGATAGCGTCCTAGAGCCACCGACCTCACAGTCTGTAGAACTGCAACCCGAGAGACAGGCTTCCGGACCAATCCCATGGGAAGGGTATGCACTCAGTCCCCTTAGTTCTGAACTATAAAGTTCCAGGTGTCCATCCCTGGCGTTGAGCTGCCCTGGACGTTTATTGCATGCCACATCCAGTCCCAAGACCCTCAGTGAAGCTCAGTGAAGCCCTGAGGTTGTCAGCTTAGCAGCTTTAGCCTGCCTGAGGTAGCAAAGTGTCTTCCCCAAAGAGGCAGGAGACCCTGGGAGAGTTAATATGAAATACAGACACTCTGTTTAAACACAACAATATTTTACTCATTTACCTTTCGTCTAAAATGATAAGAAAGAGTGCTTCGTTCAGTCGTGTCTAACTCTGCGACCCTATGGACCGTAGTCCACCAGGCTCCTGTGTCCATGGGATTCTCCAGGCAAGAATACTGGAGTGGCAGGGCTCCCCAGGCATGGACCCCAGCCTGCCGGGGCCCAGGCCCTGGCTTTGCCCAGCTGAGCACTCCGGTCAGGAAAAAATAAAATAAAAAAAACTTTAATGAACTTAAAAAAAAAAAAAAATACTGGAGTGGGTTGCCATTTCCTACTCCAGGGGATCTTCCCAACCCAGGGATCGAACTCTTATCTCGTGTCTCCTGCATTGGCAGGTGGATTCTTTACCTCTAGCGCCATCTGGGGAGGTTGTGCCACCCCAATTTATAAAGGAAGAAACCCCCAAAGACAAAGAGGTGGAATGTTGTGGAGCTGGAGGAAGGTGGACAGCAGGGGCTGCTTTAGCATCCTGGAGGTCGGGGTTCAAGAGATGGTTCATGTGAGTGCAGTCATGACAAGGAGGAGACAAGAACTCCGTCCCTACTGGCAGCGACTGAGAGGTGAGTTCCAGCAGAGGCACACTTGGAGGGCCTGCCTGTTCTGAAAGTGGCGGAATACATGAGATTCCTGCCTTTCTGCCACCTCCACCCCTGGCTCCCCAATCATGTGCCACTCAACAATCCTCAAAGAGAAGAGCCCATCTCTGCAAGAGCTCCCAACACTCACACACACACAGAAGACTGGCCACTGGGAGGTGGGCAGGAGAATGACCTGGCTCCATCCTTGACCTCAAAGCTCACTAGGCAATAAGCCCCAACCACTAAGATTCAATGTGACTGGGCAACCCAGGAACACCAGACACCTGAGGGAGAGGAAAACTGGAAAAGGAAAAGGGACTCAAAAGGAACAGAGCCAATAAAGCAGGCCAGAGACGAAGGAAAAAAGAAAAGCTAAAACTATATCCTCAGAGATATAGGATGTTGCATCAAAAAACATGAACAAGTGCTGTAAAGAAAAACATTCAGCTAGTGAGAGAGAGCAGTTACAAATGAAAAATATAAGAGGAAAAGGAACAGTTAAACAGAGAAGTTGCAAGATAAAGTTGAAATCTTCCAAAATGTATAACAATAAAACCATATATCTAGAAAACAGACAATGGAGTACTGTGACGCTCGTCAGCTGGTGCCTCAGAGGCCTCCGTAACAGAGGGGTGCACTGCGACTGGGAACTGTCAACATATTCAACATCCAGTGATAAACCATAGTGGAAGAGAATACAGGAAAAAAAATCACTTTGCTGTAAAGGCATAATTAACACAACATTATAAACTGCTATACTTCAAAAAAAAAAAAATGAGAGAAAAGAGAGAGAAGGTCCACATCAGGACCTCAGATATGCAGATGGCGCCATGCTTGTGTCAGAAAGTGAAGAAGAACTAAAGAGCCTCTTGATTGAAGGTGAAAGAGGAGAGTGAAAAAGCTGGCTTAAAACTCAGCATTCAAAAAACTAAGATCATGGCATCCGGTTCCATCACTTCATGGTAAATAGATGGGGAAACAATGGAAACAGTGACAGACTTTATTTTCTTGGGCTCCGCAATCACTCTGGACTGGATGGTGACTGCAGCCATGAAATTAAAAGACGCTTGCTCCTTGGAAGAAAAGCAATGACAAACCTAGACAGTGTATTAAAAAGCACAGACATTACTTTGCCTGCAAAGGTCCAGACAGTCAAAGCTATGGTTCTTCCAGTAGTCATGTACTGATATGAGAGCTGGAAAATGAAAAGGGCTGAGCACCAAAGAACTGATGCCTTTGAACTGTGGTGCTGAAGAAGACTGAGTCCCTTGGGCAGCAAGGAGATCAAACCAGTCAATCCTAAAGGAAATCAGTCCTGAATATTCATTGGAGGGACTGATGCTGAAGCTGAAGATCCAATACTTTGGCCACCTGATGCAAAGAGCCGACTCATTTGAAAAGACCCTGATGTGGGGAAAGATTGAAGGCAGGAGAAGGGGATGACAGAGGATGAGATGATTAGATGGCATCAGTGACTCAATGGGCATGAGTTTGAGCAAACTCTGGGAGATGGTGATGGACAGGAAGGCCTGGCGTGCTGCAGTCCATGGGGTCACAAAGAGTTGGACACGACTGAGTGACTGAACAACAACACCAGGACACATCGTTGGTAATTTCCAAAGCATCCAGGTAAAGAAAAGATCCAGAGAGAAGACATCGCAAAGGTCAGAACTCAGAAAAGCATGGGAATTCTTGGGACTAGAAGCCCAACTTTGTACCTAGTTACACGAACAAGCAGATGTGAGAGTAGTGAGGGCAAACTGCAGACTCCGTAACTGAATCAAGGAAGAGGAAATCATGGGCTCCAGCGGAGAGAAAGGAGGTGCTCCAGGATGCTTGTGAAGTCGCAGCCCATGCTGACAGCCAGGGCAGTTGGCAGGGTGAGAGGTCCAGGAAAAGATGGAAATAGCAGTTATGCAACAAATCCGAAGTTTGAGAGGAGGTTCACACTTCTGCAGGAGAATCTAGGGAGGAATTAATGACATGTGTGGAAAACTAAGCCCCCCAAAAGGCAATGATTAACTGCAGGGAAAACAAAAGGTTGTGCAAGAAAGCAAATATTTTCCTAGGACACCTCGTTCTCTGCCGAGACCTGTGGGAGTGAAGCTGTAATAGTGTGCCCATCACATTGAGATGGCACTGTGTCAATGGACACAGTGGGAGGCCAGTGGCCTCCCTTCCCCCAGAGGACACCAGCAGGTGACACCTAATGTAGAAAAACCGATGAAAAGCAGTGAAAGCATGTGTGCATGTCCTTGTGAAACATGCATATTAAATGCCTGAAGAAACAGCTAAGAGGGCTGAATTTGCAAAGGATCAGAGTTAGGCATTGTATTTATTAGTTATTTATTATTGGCCTAAAAAATTCCATTTTTAAAATAATACGTTTGTCACTTTGAAGAGATAAAAATTAAAATGAAAACCTCAACAGACATTAAATGAAGCAGTGCTAGTACTGATCCTTTTGAGTTCAATTTAATCTCTGGCACAATCTGTTATGCATTGGACACTCCCAACTGTTTCAGATGATGCAGAATCAGACAGCTTGGCATCAGGATTTCCAAGTAGATGTGTAAGTTATTTTAAAGCGTAACTTTAAACTGAAAAGATGTAAGAACTTGAATAATTTTGTAGAGTACTGGAACATTTAAAATGGAATGTATCTGACATGTCTTGGTAGGGGTGTTGGTTTGGGGTTTTGGTTGGGGTGATGTGGCAGGTGGGATGACAAAGATGTCCGTGTCCTAACTGCCAGAACCTGGGAATATTACTTTACTTGGTGAAAAGTATTTTGCACATATGATTAAGATTAAGGACCATGAGATGGGAGATTATCCCGGATTATCCAGGTGGACCCAACCTAACCACATGAAGCTTTCCTGGCTGCAGAAAACCAGATACACAGTTCAGGAGAAAGATTCAATGCGATGTTTCTGGCTTTGAAGATGGAGGAGGAGGCCATGAGCCAAGGGATCTGGCAGCCTCCAGAAGCTGAGAATGGCCTTCAGTTTAAGCAGTCATGGGAATGGGAACCTTGGCCCCACCGCTGCAAGGAACTGAATTCCTGCCCAGTGCCCCATGTGCTCCTGACACCTGCAGGCCGACAACCTGAAGGAGTAGGAAATAGTTTCTCCCCAAGAACCTCTAGAAAGGAGTGACAACACCTTGATGTTAGTCTGATGGGATCTGCACCAGATTTCTGACCATAGAACTAATGTGTTGGTTTAAGCCACTGAGTTTGTGGTAAAGACCTACAGCAACAACAGAGAACTAATACAGTGGTAGGCTTTTCTTGTTTGACATTTCAAACACTTAGAAACCTGAACATGCTAAATTTATACATGCGGTTTTAAATGTCCAAGAGTGATTAACTATATTCGCAAATGGAAGGGGCGCTGATATCCCCAGGACCCAGGGAGGTAGCACGAGTTGGGGGGAGCTGGGGAGGAGCAGGGAGGGCATCCCACATGGACCACTCTAGCCAGGGAACAGCCCTTTGTGGGGGTTGCAGGAGCCAGAGAGGGGCTTGGAAGTGGGTCTGCCCTGGATGGGGGGCGGGGACAAGAGCCACAGGAGCTTCCAGGTCATGGCCCCGCCCCTTGCCTAGTGTGGTGCCCGACAGCTGCAGGTGCTTTACCATCAGTTTAAGGTGGTGGTTCCTCGTGTGGGTCAGTGGCACCAACTTGCAATGGAGTGTTTCCCTGGGCGCGCAGCTGTCCAGGGCTGACCCCCAGCCCTCGGCCCCCAGCACTATGCGTGGTTCCCTGTGGGGCAGCCCCTTCATGACCACACGGCCAGGAAATTGTGGAAGCTGGCTGCACGGGGCATCCTGCTCCTAAGGACATGCACCAGCTAACCTGTCCCCCAGCACCGGCTCCCTCACCCCGGTGGGCCCAACCCCACCACCCTCAGCCCCACCCCAGGGCTGCAGGGAGCTATGCGAGGGGAGGTTCTCACTAGCAGGCACAAGGGCAGACAGAGACCCTGGTTCCCCACCCAACTGCAGGGGCCAGTGCCAAGCTTCCCCAGGGAGCCAGGAGGTCGGCTTCCAGGGGGCTTGGGGCCCTGAGGTGAGCGGATCAAGGTCACGGCTGAGCTCCACGGTACTTGAGGAAGCTGCTGTCCAGGAAGGCAGCCAGCTTCAGCCGATCATCCTGCAGGACGGGAGGGAGGCATGGGGGACGGAGGGGCGCGGCCCACCCTGCCGCCCTCCCAGGCTGGCCGCACCTGGCCCGCACACCTCACCTCGTGGACGAAGCCATAGTGCACCAGCTCAGCGGCCAGGTCTTGGGCACTGTCGGCTGCGGCAGGGGAGGCGGGGGCGTGAGACCCGCAGTGCTACCCACCCGCTCCCACCCCCACCCGGGGTCCACCTCCGCCCCCTGGCCTACTTGGGAGCAGGTCGTAGGTGAGCTGCCGATGCAGCCGGTCCTCCAGCACCAGGAGCAGAGTGAGCTGAGGAGGCGGAGGCAGGAGGGTGTGGTGGGCTCGGGGTCGGCCCCATCCCTCTTCTCCCACACCCGGTGTCTCTGCCGGCGGCAGCCCCCCCCCCCCACCCCAAGCTCACGTGCCAGCGCGCCTGGTCCTCGCTCCTCTCCAGGTTACACTGCATCTGGATCACCTGCGGGGGAGATGCAGGCCAAGGTTACTCAAAGGCTGGACCTCAACCTCTGGTAGCAAGGGTAGATGCTGCCTCAAAGGGGCCGGGCAGCATCTGGTAAAAACCAGAGATGGGAAAAATCTCTAAGGGCAAACTAGAAAGCACATCTCACTGCTAGGAGCCTGCTGAGTTAAGGAAACTTTGAGAGGGGTAGATGCTGAAGCTGGAAGATGCTTTAGGATGTTTTCACAGGTGGAGAGGACACCTGGACAAGCTCTGGAAGGGAAGGAAGAGTGAGGTCCTCAGGGACAGGACAGCGGAGCCCAGGATGCCAGCAAGACCAGGCCTCAGAGTGGGGGCTGAGAACGCCCGACTGTGCCCCCACCCACAACAAGAATTCTAGCTGCACTGTGGAGGGAAGCCAGCGGCAGGCGATCAAAAAAGGGGCTGGTGTAGCATCCCAGTGGGGAACAGAGGAAGCCTAGATCAGGGCAGTAACCATAGAGACACACCCAAGGCCAGAGCCACAGCCTCTGGAGACCAGTGGGTGTGGACGTGGAGAGGGAGAGGGGCTGAGGCTGCCTAGGAGGCCCCTGGCCAGGGGGGAGCCTTGCAGGAGGAGGGGCCAGGGGAATCCCAGGACCTGAGGGCCCTGGAGGAGACACCAGGGCACAGATGTCAGGGAATCCGCAAGCCAAGGAGGGGGGTCAGAGCGGTGGCGTGTGTGGGGCAAGGGTCTGCAGGAGCCTTTCCCTGCGGAGCCTCTGGGAGAGGGGTGTATCTCAGCTTGTACTACTGCCCCCAGGCTCCACAGAGTGATCAGTCAGGACTTGGCCTCTGGCAGCCTAGAAGAGAGCTGGCCCGGAAGACTTGAAGCCCCTGGTAAGAGAGCCCGTCTGGGCAGTGGGCAGGCCTGTGCAGCAGGGGTGGAGGCTTACCTTTCTGGTCTCTGAGTCAAAAGGTTCTGGTGTCGGGGTCTTGGCCTTCGGGGCTTCCTCGGGGGTCGGGGCCAGCACACGAGGCAGCCCCAGGGGCCGGGCAGCAGCGAAGTTCATCAGCGGGTAGATCCCATTCCTAGGGACACGGCGCAGGCTGGTGCCAGCTGGGGGCTCAGGCCCGACAGTTGTCCCTCCCCAGGCTCACTCCAGCCCTCACCTGACGTCCTCCAGGAACTTGTCGAGCTCTAAGCAGGAGACTTCTGAGTACCTGGCATGGGTGTAAGAAGAACGTGAGGATGGCTGGCCTGGCCAGTGGGGCATGGCTGGCCGGGGGGGAGCAGGGAGGCCTCTGGGCTGCAGGTCACTCACCGCCACTGTAGCGGGGGCCGGGGGGGCCGAGGAATCTCCGCCAGGACTGCGTGCGGGTCCATCGCCTTGGTCTTTTCCTCCACCACATTCTCAGGCATGAGGTCTGTGGGCCGCGGGAGCACACAGGCGGCGGGCCCTGAGGCCTGGGGTCCTGCCAGGCCTCCTTCCTCAGCCCGACCACAGGCCCTGGCCCACCCCCAGGCCGACCTGCCCCTCACACTGGTGCTGGATGAAGCAGTGGGCAGCCAAAAGCTTCAGTGAGTGCACCTCGAACAGCACGCGGTGGAAGAGGAGGCTGTGGGCAGAGGGCCGGCGGGCAGGGTCCCGGGCCAGGCAGGAGAGGATGAACTCCTGTGGACAGGGGGTGGAAGTGGGTGCAGCCTCTCTGCTCTCGCCCCAAGCCCCTGGGAGCCTTCATGCAGCTTCCAGCACAGGGAGAGGCATCCTGTTAGCCACCAGGCCAGGACCTGGTTCTTCAAACAGGACAGTGAACTCTTCCCAGGGCCCGGAGCTGCCTGTGCATTCCTTCCAGTAGGCACCCCCACCCCAGTTTCTGTGGGGGGCTGGCACAGTCATCCCCAAGTGACAGATGAAGGCTGCACGCTGAGGACGGACACCAGCCCCTGCCTTGGAGCCCAGGACTGGGCAGAGCACTGGCAGATCAGCCTGGGCCCCTGAGGTCAGAGAGGCCCAGCCTGAGCCCACCTGCCTGCCCTACTTCTGGTGCTGCAGGCCAGGCCTGGCTCTGCAGATGGCCTTGAGGGGTGCCTCCCTTGCCCCACATGCAGGCCCTCACTGCCTCTGGGTCCATCCTGGCCCCACGTCTGTCTCAGTCCCACCCAGGCCCCACCACTCCCAGAGGCCGTGGGTTAAGCCAGGTAGTCGCTAAAGTCTGGCCACAGAGGTTGTGGCTGCAGCTTCCAAGCATATGCCCTCTGCTCCCACCCACCTTGCCCCCTGGCATCCTCTCAGCCTGTCTCCTGAAAGCTCACAGGCAGGGCTGTGGAGTCAGGCAGACCTAGATGCACACTGGCTCCACCATTCACGTTAAAGGCTCTCCGAACCTGTTTCTTTATAAAACTGGCATAAACACTGCACCCACACTGAGAGCATCTCTTTGTGCTCAGGATGTGCCCTCATGCCATAAGGTCTGCCCTACAACACGCCTGCGCGGTAAGGCCCTCTTTGCAAGGGAAGGGCTGGTGCAGAGGGCCTGGCTCTGACCTGTGCCATCTGCAGGCCTGCCTGAGGCTCCTCACTGCCCAGCCTGGAACACTGACAGCCAACTCACAGGGGCAGGGCGTGTTGCTTACCCGCATGTTGGGGTCACTCAGCGAGTGCCTGGCACGAGTGATGGCCTCCTCTGTGACCCGGGTGTCCCCATTGGCTTGGATCTCCAGGACAGCCATCTGGGGGGCAGGGCAAGGTCAGGCAGGGGGAAGGGATGGGTGGGGTTGGGGGAGCTAGCTGGGAGGAGGGCCTCAGGCTACACTGGGTTAGTACCTCTAGTGCACACATCCCAAAGGAGAAGATGTCCACAGCAGTGCCATCAGCAACCTCTGAAAGAGGAGAGCAGGTCAGGATGGGTAAGGCGGATTCGGGGGGCAGGGTGGGGGCCTCCTGGATTCACCTCCATACTCTGGCGGGAAGAAGTGCAGGTTCCGAGGTTCCTCCCGCTCAACACGGATGGGACTTCGAAGATCATCGGGGAGTGCTACGGGAGAGCAGGGGGTGAGCAGACCGGGCCTCTCCACTGCCCCCCATCCCCCAGAGTCCCCACGCACCGTTGGAGAAGATCCGGTGCCACACTGAGCCGGTCCCCACGGGGAGAAAGTGCAGGCGTCAACGTGATGGGGTGCGCAGCATCATCGGCCCTGTGTTCCCAACAGGTCCCGCCCAGCCCGGCCTCCCCTGTGCCTCCCCACCGACCCCTCCTCCCTGCTGCCCCCTCCACCCCGCCAGCACCGGAGCCAATCTTGATGAGGCCGTTGTGCTGGATGAAGATGGTGTCGCTGGTCAGGTTCCCGTGGATGATGGGGGGGCTGCAGGCGTGCAGGAAGCTGGAGGAGAGAGCCGGTGGAGCTGGGTCAGGGGTGCCAGGAGGCGGGGTGTGCGGGGGAGATCGCAGGCAGGTGTTAGGGCAAGCCCAGGCCCTCACCTGAGTGCAGACAGGATCTGTGTGCACCAGCGCTTCCAGGCCTGGCGGTGGACGGACTCCATGAGGTGGGCTCCGAAAGGCAGCTGGGCCTGGGCCACCTGGCCCAGCCCTGCCCGGTGCCCCTCACCATCTCTGTCCCCAACAGCACCCAGATCCCAGCCTGGCCCTGACCCATGCCAGCCCACTTGCATACCCTGGCATTCATGGCCTTGTGGTTCTTCTTGGTCTTTTTGAGGAATTGCTTGAGGCTGCCTGACGACACGTACTCTGTGATGAAGATGACCTGCAAGGCGGCAAACTCACGGGCTCCACCAACAGTGGGTGCCCACTCCCACCCCACCCACTGGTGCCCCACCACCCCATGGCCCAACCAGGGGCTCACCCGCGCTCGGGACTCTGAGGCATCCAGCCAGTACTTGTGCAGCTTGACGATATTGGGGTGGTCTACCAGCGCCAGCTGCTCAAACATGGTCTGGATCTTCTCCTGGGAAAGGGGGGTACAGTCACCAGGATGATGGGGGGGTGAGGGGGGTCGGGCAGCGGGCCTTACCTCGTGGACCAAGAAGGCCTTCCTGTCAGCGAAGTGCAGCTCGTTCCACACCACCTCCACCCCCTCCTCAGTGTCCATGGCCAGGAATGTGCTCTGGACCCCCGGCATGTTTCCCTGATTCACCTGGGGGTGGGGGTGGCGGGGCATGAGTGAGGTGGTCGGGGGAGGCTCAGTCCCTGCTCACATCCTATCCACCAGCCGGAGGGTGTGAGGCAGGCACTGGCGCTCCAGGGAGAAGCTGGGGACCCAGGAGCAGAGGCGTGGTATCCCTGGGGCTGGGTTGTGGAGATTTGGGGCATGCTTTGGGTTTTTTTGAGGATGGTTCCCAGGAGGCTAACAGGTGGTCTCAGAGGCATGGGGAGGTGATCTCGAGAGACTGGCCCTCAAGGAAGAGGGGATTTCTCACCAGGGTGGGGGCCAGGCTAAAGGAGTGCGAGCACGCATCGAGGAGGCCGTCTGCGCGAGGCTTCGGGCAGGTTCTCGGCCTCCTGGCTCGCCCAGAGTGCGCACGGCCCCGCGTGGCCCCAGGACCCCTCCGCCCGAGGTGGGCGGCGATCCGCCCCGCCCTGCTGTGCCCACCTGCTCCCGCCGCTTCTGCCAGCGGCCGCACGGGCTCTCTTCCAGAATATCACTCTCGTCCTCACTCTCGTCCTCCCGTTCCCGCTCCCGGCCCCGCCTCGGCACCAGCTCCGGGGCCGCCATGGCTCGGCCGGTCCCGGCCACCGCCCTACGCGCGATCCGCCGCCCTGCGCCGCCGCCGCTCTCCGCCCGTCCTGGCCCCGCGCCCAGACTCCCAGCTGGAAGCGGAGCTGCCGCCACCACCCCTTCGAGCCCCCACCCTGGTTCTGGGAATTGGGAGGCGCGAGCACGCGGCCGGCCCGGGGGGTGGAGCCCGCCTGCCCCGCCGAAGCCGCCTCCCCGGGCCGGAGCCGAAGCTGAGGCTCCACGCACCAGGCAGAGCCCTCGCCGCGGCCCGCGGAAGCCCCACCTGTCCCCGCCCCGAGCCCCACCGAGTGGAGCCCCGCCCCCCGCCCCGCCACACCCACTAAGGCCCTGCCCACTGCATCTAGGGCCCCGCCCTCCAGTCAACAGCCCCGCCCCTCCAGAGGCCCCGCCCGCCTGGGTCCTAGCCAGCTTCTGCTGGGACGCGCAGCTCTCGGCTGCCCAGGGACCAGCCTTAGCCCGGCTACCCGGGCGCGGGGGTTCCCGTGGCGGCCTGAGGCCAGATCCGTCGGGGCCTCCCCGAACGCGCGCTGCCCTGCGCGCCCTGGTCCTGCCCAGCTCTATCCGCGCCACACTCCGTCAAGCACATCGGGAAACCTGGCATGGGCCCCAGGCTCCCGCCTTGGGGTGAAGCCAGCGAGGAGCAGGTCGAGGGGCAGCCCGCGCAGCCCGGGGTTGCACCACGAGGGTCTGAGGTCAGGCCACAGAGAAGCGTCCGTCCCTCCTCCCTTAAGGAACACATGAGAGGGTCTCTTAAGGTGACAGAAAAATACGCAAGCGGTACACTGTAATTGGTGACCCCTACTACTTTCCTGGGCTTCCCTGGTGGCTCAGAGGGTGAAGCGTCTGCCTGCAATGCGGGAGACCTGGTTTGATCCCTGGGTCGGGAAGATCACCTGGAGAAGGAAATGGCAACCCACTCCGGTACTGTGGAAAATCCCATGGAGAAGCCTGGTAGGCTACAGTCCACAGGGTCGCAGAAAATCGGACACAATGGAGCAACTTCACTTCACTTTTACTACTTTCCTACTATCTCCTTCCTCTCACCTGCTGGGTTCCCACTCACCCTTCACTTTCTCTTTCTGGGGGGAAAGGCTGTGGACACAGGTACCCACTTTCTCTCAACCCTGAGCTCCAGTGTCCCCAGTTTGGTCCAAATGCCTTCAGTCCTGCTGGTCTCGGAGTCACCTACAACACCTCGCTCCCCCACCTTCTGCACAGACTTAACTCCACTGCTGTCATCCTAATGGGATGAGCAAAGCTCCCACGTTCTACACTCCACTCACCCAAGGTGATCCTGAAAAAATACCACTCACTGCTCAGAACTCTGTGAAAATGGAGGGACCAGGAAGACTTGGCCCAGTGCCACCTGTGCCTACTAGACACTCTGTGATCAATGTCTGAAGTTCCAGGATCATCCAAGACTTAGACCTAAACCCATGGGAAGCAGAGACCATGCTGGATATGGCTGTATGTCACCTTAGGTTATCAATGCTTATTGTCCTTGTTTAATATCTTTTATCTATAATAAGGAGAGAGAATTTTGTGGAAGAACTTTCAAAAAGCTGAATCAAAGAAGAGAGCTTTGTTGACATACAAACAATTCCTTGTAAACTGTAAAAGCCATGGAGTGGAGTGGGGTACATGCATGTTCAGTCATGTTCAACTCAGTGGCCCTAAAGACTGTCACCTATGAGGCTTCTGTCCATGGAATTCTCCAGGTAAGAATACTGTAAGGGGTTGCCAGTTGTTCCTACAGGGAATCTTCCAACCCCAGAGCCTGAACCTGCAACTTCTGCATTGGTAGGTAGATTCTTTACCACTGAGCAACCAGGGAAGCCGTTGTAAAGGCCATCAGTTCAGTTCAGTTTAGTCGCTCAGTTGTGTCCGACTCTTTGAGACCGCATGGACTGCAGCATGGCAAGCCTCCCTGTCCATCACGAACTACTAGAGTCTACTCATGTCCATTGAGTCAGTGATGCCATCAATCCATCTCATCCTCTGTTGTCCCCTTCTTCTCCTGCCTTCAATCTTTCCCAGCATCAGGGTCTTTTCAACCGAGTCAGCTCTTCACATCAGGTAGGCAAAGTATTAGAGCTTGAGCTTCAACATCAGGACTTCCAATGAACACTCAGGACTGATCTCCTTTAGGATATACTGGTTTGATCTCCTTGCAGTCCAAGGGACTCTCAAGAGTCTTCTCCAACACCACAGTTCAAAAGCATCAATTCTTCAGTGCTCAGCTTTCTTTATAGTCCAACTCTCACATCCACACATGACTATTGGAAAACCATAGCCTTGACAAGATGGACCTATGTTGACAATGTCTCTGCTTTTTAATATGCTGTCTAGGTTGGTCATAACTTTCCTTCCAAGGAGTAAGCATCTTTCAATTTCATGACTGCAGTCACCATCTGCAGTGATTTTGGAGCCCTAAAAAATAAAGTCAGCCACCGTTTCCACATCTATTGGCCATGAAGTGATGTGATTGTATGCCATGTTCTTAATTTTTTGAATGCTGAGCTTTAAGCCAACTTTTTCACTCTCCTCTTTCACTTCCATCAAGGGGCTCTTTAGTTTTTCTTCACTTTCTGCCATAAGGGTGGTGTCATCTGCATATCTGAGGTTATTGATATTTCTCCCGGCAATCTTGATTCCAGCTTGTGCCTCATCCAGCCCAGCGTTTCTCATGATGTACTACTCTAAATATAAACTAAATAAGCAGGGTGACAATATATACAGTCTTGACATACTCCTTTTCCTATTTGGAACCAGTCTGTTGTTCCATGTCCAGTTGTAACTGTTGCTTCCTGACCTGCATACAGTTTTCTCAAGAGGCATGTCAGGTGGTCTGGTATTCCCATCTCTCGAAGAATTTTCCACAGTTTATTGTGATCCACACAGTCGAAGGCTTTGGCATAGTCATTAAGCAGAAATAGATGTTTTTCTGGAACTCTCTTGCTTTTTCAGTGATCCAGCAGATGTTGGCAATTTGATCTCTGGTTCCTCTGCCTTTTCTAAAACCAGACTGAACATCTGGAAATCATGGTTCACGTATTGCTGAAGACTGGCTTGGAGAATTTTGAGGATTACTTTACTAACATGTGAGATGAGTGCAATTGTGCGGTAGTTTGAGCATTCTTTGGCATTACCTTTCTTTGGGATTGGAATGAAAACTGACCTTTTCCAGTCCTGTGGCCACTGCTGAGTTTTCCAAATTCGCTGGTATATTGAGTGCAGCATTTTCACAGCATCATCTTTCAGGATTTGAAATAGCTCAGCTGGAATTCTATCACCTCCACTAGCTTTGTTCGCAGTGATGCTTTCTAAGGCCGACTTGACTTCACATTCCAGAATGTCTGGTTCTAGGTGAGGGGTCACACCATCATGATTATCTGGGTCATGAAGAACTTTCTTGTACACTTGTGTGTATTCTTACCTCTTCTTCTTAATATATTCTGCTTCTGTTAGGTCCATACCCTTTCTGTCCTTTATTGAGCCCATCTTCGCATGAAATGTTCCCTTGGTAGCTCTAATTTTCTTGAAATCTCTAGTCTTTCCCGTTCTATTGTTTTCCTCTATTTTTTGCACTGATCACTGAGGAAGGAAGTGATAACTGATCACTGTAAAGGCCATACCACCAAACAAATCTGATGGGAACACACAGGGGGTCAGACTAACAGGGAGAGCAGCATCCAGTGACAGAATGAGCCCAGCCTCTGCAAAGCACAGCACTAGCATAGAAAACCAGGGTAGGAGGCCAGCAAAATGAGAGCCACGAGCATTTACTAAAGCAAGGAATTGACAGAAAATGGTTTAGTCAAACCAGAAACTAAATCAATATGAAGAAGTCCATTTAGATGAAATGGGATTGTAACCAATCATGCATAGCATCTCCTGTAGTAAAAAGTGAAAGTAAAGTCACTCAGTCGTGTCCAGTTCGTTGCTCAAGGTCTATAGCCTACCAGGCTTCCCCAACCATGTCATTTTCCAGGCAAGAGTACCAGAGTCGCTTACCATTTCCTTCTCAAGGGGATATGCAATCCAGGGATTGAACCTGGGTCTCCCACATTGCACGCAGAAGCTTTTAACACCTGAGCCACCAGGGAAGCCCTCTCTACTATGACGGGTATACGTAAAAAGGAGAGAACCCTTGACTCAAAATAAGGGAGATTCTAGAGGTATCACAGGACAAATTTCAAAGAACTGTAAATTAAAAACTGAACAGAAAAAAAAAAACATTAAGGTCATGACTTTAATGGAAACAGACAAAAATGAGCAATTACAATAAAAACTAGGGGAAAGACACGAAGGTAATTAACAGGGAAGTAAAACCAACTGAACAGATATATCAAGAAAAAATTTTCAAAAACATTCTTATGTATTCTTAACAGAAGACAAAATTTTATTCAACACGAATAAACGATCAATTTCCAGTGAGAGAAAGAAATAAGAGCCCTGTTTCAGGATCCGGAGTAGCCCTCTGGAGCAGCTGCACATACGTGAGGTTCTCGTGCGTGTTGGGGTCGAAGAAGCCCTTGGTGTCGTCGCTGGGGTCCTCCAGCACGCGGTTCATCTCCTCGTCGAAGTAGCCGCGCTGGTAGGCCACGTCCACGGGCACGCGGTGGCTGTGCACGGGGTCGATGACGCCGCCCGTGGCGATCTGGGCCTCCAGCAGGCGGATGCCGTGCTCGCGCACGATGAGGTCCTTCTTCATGGCCTGGAAGAGGGAGATCTGCTGCCCGGTGTAGGGGTCGGTGTAGCCGGTGACCGCGCGCTCGGCCGACAGCAGCTTCTCCTGGAGCTCGCCGCCCACCACGCCCGCGGCCACCGCCTCCTCCACGGACAGCTTCTGGTTGCGCACGGGGTCGATGACGAAGCCCGTGGCCGCCTGCGCCTCCAGCAGCACCAGGGCCGTGCCCGGCCGCAGGACGCCCTTCCACATGGCCTGGTAGATGCTCATCTTCTCCTGGCGCCCGGGCTCGTCCTTGGCGGGGACCAGCACGCCCGCGATGCAGCTGGTGCCCTCCAGGTAGCGCTTCACCGAGTCCATCTCCGTCACCTCCTGCAGGGTCTTGGTGCCCTGGGCCAGGTCCCGCAGGGTCTCGGGGCCCAGGATCCCGGACGTGTGCAGCTCGGAGGCCGACACCTGGCGCCTCAGGCCCCGGAAGGACACCTTGCTCAGCCGCTCCTCCGTCTCCTCGATGAGCTGGGTGAGGACGGCGACCAGGGCGGGCAGGGCCAGGGCGCCGGCCGCGTGCTGGGCCAGCAGCTCGTCCCGGCGGGCCTGGCTCAGGTAGGAGGAGAAGAGGACCTCCCACACGGAGACGGGCCGGCCCTGGAACCGCCCGACGCGCACCTCCATGGTGGCGGCGCGCAGGGCCTGCTCCAGCAGGGCCCTGGCGGCGTCGGCGTCCTGGCCAGGGGACGGTCCCGCGGCGGCCCGCTGCCCGGAGGCTCCGCCCCCTTGGGAGAGGGCGGGCTCGGTCCCGTGGGCCGCCTCAGCCTCCTCGATGATGGTGGTCAGCCTGCGGGTCAGCGCGGGCAAGCCCAGCGTCCCCGACCCGAACTGGGCCAGCAGCTGCTCCCGCGTGGCGGCGCTCACGTAGCCGGAGTCCAGCACGTCCCAGACGGGCACCGCGGGCCCCCGCAGGCGGCCCAGCCGGACCTCCATGGTGGCGGCACGCAGCGCCCCCCGAGGGTCCGGGGCGCCGGGGCGCGCGACCCCAACCTCGGCCTCGGCCTCGGCCTCGGCCTCGGCCAGCAGCGAGACGAGGGCGGCGCCCAGCTCCTGCGCCGTCAGCGAGCCCGCCCGGTACCGGCGCAGCAGGTCCTGCCGCTGACCCTCGGACACCTCCCGGTAGAAGAGGAGCTCCCACACGGAGACGGGCTGGCCCCGCGGGAGGCCCGCGCCCAGCGTCACGCGGGTGTCGCGCAGGGCGGCGCGCAGCTCCTCGCCCAGCTGGTGGAGGGCGGAGCCCCGGCCGGCCAGCTGCAGCATGTAGAGCCCCGTGTCGGGGTCGCGCACGCAGCGCCGCAGCAGCTGCACGTACGTGAGGTTCTCGTGCGTGTTGGGGTCGAAGAAGCCCTTGGTGTCGTCGCTGGGGTCCTCCAGCACGCGGTTCATCTCCTCGTCGAAGTAGCCGCGCTGGTAGGCCACGTCCACGGGCACGCGGTGGCTGTGCACGGGGTCGATGACGCCGCCCGTGGCGATCTGGGCCTCCAGCAGGCGGATGCCGTGCTCGCGCACGATGAGGTCCTTCTTCATGGCCTGGAAGAGGGAGATCTGCTGCCCGGTGTAGGGGTCGGTGTAGCCGGTGACCGCGCGCTCGGCCGACAGCAGCTTCTCCTGGAGCTCGCCGCCCACCACGCCCGCGGCCACCGCCTCCTCCACGGACAGCTTCTGGTTGCGCACGGGGTCGATGACGAAGCCCGTGGCCGCCTGCGCCTCCAGCAGCACCAGGGCCGTGCCCGGCCGCAGGACGCCCTTCCACATGGCCTGGTAGATGCTCATCTTCTCCTGGCGCCCGGGCTCGTCCTTGGCGGGGACCAGCACGCCCGCGATGCAGCTGGTGCCCTCCAGGTAGCGCTTCACCGAGTCCATCTCCGTCACCTCCTGCAGGGTCTTGGTGCCCTGGGCCAGGTCCCGCAGGGTCTCGGGGCCCAGGATCCCGGACGTGTGCAGCTCGGAGGCCGACACCTGGCGCCTCAGGCCCCGGAAGGACACCTTGCTCAGCCGCTCCTCCGTCTCCTCGATGAGCTGGGTGAGGACGGCGACCAGGGCGGGCAGGGCCAGGGCGCCGGCCGCGTGCTGGGCCAGCAGCTCGTCCCGGCGGGCCTGGCTCAGGTAGGAGGAGAAGAGGACCTCCCACACGGAGACGGGCCGGCCCTGGAACCGCCCGACGCGCACCTCCATGGTGGCGGCGCGCAGGGCCTGCTCCAGCAGGGCCCTGGCGGCGTCGGCGTCCTGGCCAGGGGACGGTCCCGCGGCGGCCCGCTGCCCGGAGGCTCCGCCCCCTTGGGAGAGGGCGGGCTCGGTCCCGTGGGCCGCCTCAGCCTCCTCGATGATGGTGGTCAGCCTGCGGGTCAGCGCGGGCAAGCCCAGCGTCCCCGACCCGAACTGGGCCAGCAGCTGCTCCCGCGTGGCGGCGCTCACGTAGCCGGAGTCCAGCACGTCCCAGACGGGCACCGCGGGCCCCCGCAGGCGGCCCAGCCGGACCTCCATGGTGGCGGCACGCAGCGCCCCCCGAGGGTCCGGGGCGCCGGGGCGCGCGACCCCAACCTCGGCCTCGGCCTCGGCCTCGGCCTCGGCCAGCAGCGAGACGAGGGCGGCGCCCAGCTCCTGCGCCGTCAGCGAGCCCGCCCGGTACCGGCGCAGCAGGTCCTGCCGCTGACCCTCGGACACCTCCCGGTAGAAGAGGAGCTCCCACACGGAGACGGGCTGGCCCCGCGGGAGGCCCGCGCCCAGCGTCACGCGGGTGTCGCGCAGGGCGGCGCGCAGCTCCTCGCCCAGCTGGTGGAGGGCGGAGCCCCGGCCGGCCAGCTGCAGCATGTAGAGCCCCGTGTCGGGGTCGCGCACGCAGCGCCGCAGCAGCTGCACGTACGTGAGGTTCTCGTGCGTGTTGGGGTCGAAGAAGCCCTTGGTGTCGTCGCTGGGGTCCTCCAGCACGCGGTTCATCTCCTCGTCGAAGTAGCCGCGCTGGTAGGCCACGTCCACGGGCACGCGGTGGCTGTGCACGGGGTCGATGACGCCGCCCGTGGCGATCTGGGCCTCCAGCAGGCGGATGCCGTGCTCGCGCACGATGAGGTCCTTCTTCATGGCCTGGAAGAGGGAGATCTGCTGCCCGGTGTAGGGGTCGGTGTAGCCGGTGACCGCGCGCTCGGCCGACAGCAGCTTCTCCTGGAGCTCGCCGCCCACCACGCCCGCGGCCACCGCCTCCTCCACGGACAGCTTCTGGTTGCGCACGGGGTCGATGACGAAGCCCGTGGCCGCCTGCGCCTCCAGCAGCACCAGGGCCGTGCCCGGCCGCAGGACGCCCTTCCACATGGCCTGGTAGATGCTCATCTTCTCCTGGCGCCCGGGCTCGTCCTTGGCGGGGACCAGCACGCCCGCGATGCAGCTGGTGCCCTCCAGGTAGCGCTTCACCGAGTCCATCTCCGTCACCTCCTGCAGGGTCTTGGTGCCCTGGGCCAGGTCCCGCAGGGTCTCGGGGCCCAGGATCCCGGACGTGTGCAGCTCGGAGGCCGACACCTGGCGCCTCAGGCCCCGGAAGGACACCTTGCTCAGCCGCTCCTCCGTCTCCTCGATGAGCTGGGTGAGGACGGCGACCAGGGCGGGCAGGGCCAGGGCGCCGGCCGCGTGCTGGGCCAGCAGCTCGTCCCGGCGGGCCTGGCTCAGGTAGGAGGAGAAGAGGACCTCCCACACGGAGACGGGCCGGCCCTGGAACCGCCCGACGCGCACCTCCATGGTGGCGGCGCGCAGGGCCTGCTCCAGCAGGGCCCTGGCGGCGTCGGCGTCCTGGCCAGGGGACGGTCCCGCGGCGGCCCGCTGCCCGGAGGCTCCGCCCCCTTGGGAGAGGGCGGGCTCGGTCCCGTGGGCCGCCTCAGCCTCCTCGATGATGGTGGTCAGCCTGCGGGTCAGCGCGGGCAAGCCCAGCGTCCCCGACCCGAACTGGGCCAGCAGCTGCTCCCGCGTGGCGGCGCTCACGTAGCCGGAGTCCAGCACGTCCCAGACGGGCACCGCGGGCCCCCGCAGGCGGCCCAGCCGGACCTCCATGGTGGCGGCACGCAGCGCCCCCCGAGGGTCCGGGGCGCCGGGGCGCGCGACCCCAACCTCGGCCTCGGCCTCGGCCTCGGCCAGCAGCGAGACGAGGGCGGCGCCCAGCTCCTGCGCCGTCAGCGAGCCCGCCCGGTACCGGCGCAGCAGGTCCTGCCGCTGACCCTCGGACACCTCCCGGTAGAAGAGGAGCTCCCACACGGAGACGGGCTGGCCCCGCGGGAGGCCCGCGCCCAGCGTCACGCGGGTGTCGCGCAGGGCGGCGCGCAGCTCCTCGCCCAGCTGGTGGAGGGCGGAGCCCCGGCCGGCCAGCTGCAGCATGTAGAGCCCCGTGTCGGGGTCGCGCACGCAGCGCCGCAGCAGCTGCACGTACGTGAGGTTCTCGTGCGTGTTGGGGTCGAAGAAGCCCTTGGTGTCGTCGCTGGGGTCCTCCAGCACGCGGTTCATCTCCTCGTCGAAGTAGCCGCGCTGGTAGGCCACGTCCACGGGCACGCGGTGGCTGTGCACGGGGTCGATGACGCCGCCCGTGGCGATCTGGGCCTCCAGCAGGCGGATGCCGTGCTCGCGCACGATGAGGTCCTTCTTCATGGCCTGGAAGAGGGAGATCTGCTGCCCGGTGTAGGGGTCGGTGTAGCCGGTGACCGCGCGCTCGGCCGACAGCAGCTTCTCCTGGAGCTCGCCGCCCACCACGCCCGCGGCCACCGCCTCCTCCACGGACAGCTTCTGGTTGCGCACGGGGTCGATGACGAAGCCCGTGGCCGCCTGCGCCTCCAGCAGCACCAGGGCCGTGCCCGGCCGCAGGACGCCCTTCCACATGGCCTGGTAGATGCTCATCTTCTCCTGGCGCCCGGGCTCGTCCTTGGCGGGGACCAGCACGCCCGCGATGCAGCTGGTGCCCTCCAGGTAGCGCTTCACCGAGTCCATCTCCGTCACCTCCTGCAGGGTCTTGGTGCCCTGGGCCAGGTCCCGCAGGGTCTCGGGGCCCAGGATCCCGGACGTGTGCAGCTCGGAGGCCGACACCTGGCGCCTCAGGCCCCGGAAGGACACCTTGCTCAGCCGCTCCTCCGTCTCCTCGATGAGCTGGGTGAGGACGGCGACCAGGGCGGGCAGGGCCAGGGCGCCGGCCGCGTGCTGGGCCAGCAGCTCGTCCCGGCGGGCCTGGCTCAGGTAGGAGGAGAAGAGGACCTCCCACACGGAGACGGGCCGGCCCTGGAACCGCCCGACGCGCACCTCCATGGTGGCGGCGCGCAGGGCCTGCTCCAGCAGGGCCCTGGCGGCGTCGGCGTCCTGGCCAGGGGACGGTCCCGCGGCGGCCCGCTGCCCGGAGGCTCCGCCCCCTTGGGAGAGGGCGGGCTCGGTCCCGTGGGCCGCCTCAGCCTCCTCGATGATGGTGGTCAGCCTGCGGGTCAGCGCGGGCAAGCCCAGCGTCCCCGACCCGAACTGGGCCAGCAGCTGCTCCCGCGTGGCGGCGCTCACGTAGCCGGAGTCCAGCACGTCCCAGACGGGCACCGCGGGCCCCCGCAGGCGGCCCAGCCGGACCTCCATGGTGGCGGCACGCAGCACCCCCCGAGGGTCCGGGGCGCCGGGGCGCGCGACCCCAACCTCGGCCTCGGCCTCGGCCTCGGCCTCGGCCAGCAGCGAGACGAGGGCGGCGCCCAGCTCCTGCGCCGTCAGCGAGCCCGCCCGGTACCGGCGCAGCAGGTCCTGCCGCTGACCCTCGGACACCTCCCGGTAGAAGAGGAGCTCCCACACGGAGACGGGCTGGCCCCGCGGGAGGCCCGCGCCCAGCGTCACGCGGGTGTCGCGCAGGGCGGCGCGCAGCTCCTCGCCCAGCTGGTGGAGGGCGGAGCCCCGGCCGGCCAGCTGCAGCATGTAGAGCCCCGTGTCGGGGTCGCGCACGCAGCGCCGCAGCAGCTGCACGTACGTGAGGTTCTCGTGCGTGTTGGGGTCGAAGAAGCCCTTGGTGTCGTCGCTGGGGTCCTCCAGCACGCGGTTCATCTCCTCGTCGAAGTAGCCGCGCTGGTAGGCCACGTCCACGGGCACGCGGTGGCTGTGCACGGGGTCGATGACGCCGCCCGTGGCGATCTGGGCCTCCAGCAGGCGGATGCCGTGCTCGCGCACGATGAGGTCCTTCTTCATGGCCTGGAAGAGGGAGATCTGCTGCCCGGTGTAGGGGTCGGTGTAGCCGGTGACCGCGCGCTCGGCCGACAGCAGCTTCTCCTGGAGCTCGCCGCCCACCACGCCCGCGGCCACCGCCTCCTCCACGGACAGCTTCTGGTTGCGCACGGGGTCGATGACGAAGCCCGTGGCCGCCTGCGCCTCCAGCAGCACCAGGGCCGTGCCCGGCCGCAGGACGCCCTTCCACATGGCCTGGTAGATGCTCATCTTCTCCTGGCGCCCGGGCTCGTCCTTGGCGGGGACCAGCACGCCCGCGATGCAGCTGGTGCCCTCCAGGTAGCGCTTCACCGAGTCCATCTCCGTCACCTCCTGCAGGGTCTTGGTGCCCTGGGCCAGGTCCCGCAGGGTCTCGGGGCCCAGGATCCCGGACGTGTGCAGCTCGGAGGCCGACACCTGGCGCCTCAGGCCCCGGAAGGACACCTTGCTCAGCCGCTCCTCCGTCTCCTCGATGAGCTGGGTGAGGACGGCGACCAGGGCGGGCAGGGCCAGGGCGCCGGCCGCGTGCTGGGCCAGCAGCTCGTCCCGGCGGGCCTGGCTCAGGTAGGAGGAGAAGAGGACCTCCCACACGGAGACGGGCCGGCCCTGGAACCGCCCGACGCGCACCTCCATGGTGGCGGCGCGCAGGGCCTGCTCCAGCAGGGCCCTGGCGGCGTCGGCGTCCTGGCCAGGGGACGGTCCCGCGGCGGCCCGCTGCCCGGAGGCTCCGCCCCCTTGGGAGAGGGCGGGCTCGGTCCCGTGGGCCGCCTCAGCCTCCTCGATGATGGTGGTCAGCCTGCGGGTCAGCGCGGGCAAGCCCAGCGTCCCCGACCCGAACTGGGCCAGCAGCTGCTCCCGCGTGGCGGCGCTCACGTAGCCGGAGTCCAGCACGTCCCAGACGGGCACCGCGGGCCCCCGCAGGCGGCCCAGCCGGACCTCCATGGTGGCGGCACGCAGCGCCCCCCGAGGGTCCGGGGCGCCGGGGCGCGCGACCCCAACCTCGGCCTCGGCCTCGGCCTCGGCCTCGGCCAGCAGCGAGACGAGGGCGGCGCCCAGCTCCTGCGCCGTCAGCGAGCCCGCCCGGTACCGGCGCAGCAGGTCCTGCCGCTGACCCTCGGACACCTCCCGGTAGAAGAGGAGCTCCCACACGGAGACGGGCTGGCCCCGCGGGAGGCCCGCGCCCAGCGTCACGCGGGTGTCGCGCAGGGCGGCGCGCAGCTCCTCGCCCAGCTGGTGGAGGGCGGAGCCCCGGCCGGCCAGCTGCAGCATGTAGAGCCCCGTGTCGGGGTCGCGCACGCAGCGCCGCAGCAGCTGCACGTACGTGAGGTTCTCGTGCGTGTTGGGGTCGAAGAAGCCCTTGGTGTCGTCGCTGGGGTCCTCCAGCACGCGGTTCATCTCCTCGTCGAAGTAGCCGCGCTGGTAGGCCACGTCCACGGGCACGCGGTGGCTGTGCACGGGGTCGATGACGCCGCCCGTGGCGATCTGGGCCTCCAGCAGGCGGATGCCGTGCTCGCGCACGATGAGGTCCTTCTTCATGGCCTGGAAGAGGGAGATCTGCTGCCCGGTGTAGGGGTCGGTGTAGCCGGTGACCGCGCGCTCGGCCGACAGCAGCTTCTCCTGGAGCTCGCCGCCCACCACGCCCGCGGCCACCGCCTCCTCCACGGACAGCTTCTGGTTGCGCACGGGGTCGATGACGAAGCCCGTGGCCGCCTGCGCCTCCAGCAGCACCAGGGCCGTGCCCGGCCGCAGGACGCCCTTCCACATGGCCTGGTAGATGCTCATCTTCTCCTGGCGCCCGGGCTCGTCCTTGGCGGGGACCAGCACGCCCGCGATGCAGCTGGTGCCCTCCAGGTAGCGCTTCACCGAGTCCATCTCCGTCACCTCCTGCAGGGTCTTGGTGCCCTGGGCCAGGTCCCGCAGGGTCTCGGGGCCCAGGATCCCGGACGTGTGCAGCTCGGAGGCCGACACCTGGCGCCTCAGGCCCCGGAAGGACACCTTGCTCAGCCGCTCCTCCGTCTCCTCGATGAGCTGGGTGAGGACGGCGACCAGGGCGGGCAGGGCCAGGGCGCCGGCCGCGTGCTGGGCCAGCAGCTCGTCCCGGCGGGCCTGGCTCAGGTAGGAGGAGAAGAGGACCTCCCACACGGAGACGGGCCGGCCCTGGAACCGCCCGACGCGCACCTCCATGGTGGCGGCGCGCAGGGCCTGCTCCAGCAGGGCCCTGGCGGCGTCGGCGTCCTGGCCAGGGGACGGTCCCGCGGCGGCCCGCTGCCCGGAGGCTCCGCCCCCTTGGGAGAGGGCGGGCTCGGTCCCGTGGGCCGCCTCAGCCTCCTCGATGATGGTGGTCAGCCTGCGGGTCAGCGCGGGCAAGCCCAGCGTCCCCGACCCGAACTGGGCCAGCAGCTGCTCCCGCGTGGCGGCGCTCACGTAGCCGGAGTCCAGCACGTCCCAGACGGGCACCGCGGGCCCCCGCAGGCGGCCCAGCCGGACCTCCATGGTGGCGGCACGCAGCGCCCCCCGAGGGTCCGGGGCGCCGGGGCGCGCGACCCCAACCTCGGCCTCGGCCTCGGCCTCGGCCAGCAGCGAGACGAGGGCGGCGCCCAGCTCCTGCGCCGTCAGCGAGCCCGCCCGGTACCGGCGCAGCAGGTCCTGCCGCTGACCCTCGGACACCTCCCGGTAGAAGAGGAGCTCCCACACGGAGACGGGCTGGCCCCGCGGGAGGCCCGCGCCCAGCGTCACGCGGGTGTCGCGCAGGGCGGCGCGCAGCTCCTCGCCCAGCTGGTGGAGGGCGGAGCCCCGGCCGGCCAGCTGCAGCATGTAGAGCCCCGTGTCGGGGTCGCGCACGCAGCGCCGCAGCAGCTGCACATACGTGAGGTTCTCGTGCGTGTTGGGGTCGAAGAAGCCCTTGGTGTCATCGCTGGGGTCCTCCAGCACGCGGTTCATCTCCTCGTCGAAGTAGCCGCGCTGGTAGGCCACGTCCACGGGCACGCGGTGGCTGTGCACGGGGTCGATGACGCCGCCCGTGGCGATCTGGGCCTCCAGCAGGCGGATGCCGTGCTCGCGCACGATGAGGTCCTTCTTCATGGCCTGGAAGAGGGAGATCTGCTGCCCGGTGTAGGGGTCGGTGTAGCCGGTGACCGCGCGCTCGGCCGACAGCAGCTTCTCCTGGAGCTCGCCGCCCACCACGCCCGCGGCCACCGCCTCCTCCACGGACAGCTTCTGGTTGCGCACGGGGTCGATGACGAAGCCCGTGGCCGCCTGCGCCTCCAGCAGCACCAGGGCCGTGCCCGGCCGCAGGACGCCCTTCCACATGGCCTGGTAGATGCTCATCTTCTCCTGGCGCCCGGGCTCGTCCTTGGCGGGGACCAGCACGCCCGCGATGCAGCTGGTGCCCTCCAGGTAGCGCTTCACCGAGTCCATCTCCGTCACCTCCTGCAGGGTCTTGGTGCCCTGGGCCAGGTCCCGCAGGGTCTCGGGGCCCAGGATCCCGGACGTGTGCAGCTCGGAGGCCGACACCTGGCGCCTCAGGCCCCGGAAGGACACCTTGCTCAGCCGCTCCTCCGTCTCCTCGATGAGCTGGGTGAGGACGGCGACCAGGGCGGGCAGGGCCAGGGCGCCGGCCGCGTGCTGGGCCAGCAGCTCGTCCCGGCGGGCCTGGCTCAGGTAGGAGGAGAAGAGGACCTCCCACACGGAGACGGGCCGGCCCTGGAACCGCCCGACGCGCACCTCCATGGTGGCGGCGCGCAGGGCCTGCTCCAGCAGGGCCCTGGCGGCGTCGGCGTCCTGGCCAGGGGACGGTCCCGCGGCGGCCCGCTGCCCGGAGGCTCCGCCCCCTTGGGAGAGGGCGGGCTCGGTCCCGTGGGCCGCCTCAGCCTCCTCGATGATGGTGGTCAGCCTGCGGGTCAGCGCGGGCAAGCCCAGCGTCCCCGACCCGAACTGGGCCAGCAGCTGCTCCCGCGTGGCGGCGCTCACGTAGCCGGAGTCCAGCACGTCCCAGACGGGCACCGCGGGCCCCCGCAGGCGGCCCAGCCGGACCTCCATGGTGGCGGCACGCAGCACCCCCCGAGGGTCCGGGGCGCCGGGGCGCGCGACCCCAACCTCGGCCTCGGCCTCGGCCTCGGCCAGCAGCGAGACGAGGGCGGCGCCCAGCTCCTGCGCCGTCAGCGAGCCCGCCCGGTACCGGCGCAGCAGGTCCTGCCGCTGACCCTCGGACACCTCCCGGTAGAAGAGGAGCTCCCACACGGAGACGGGCTGGCCCCGCGGGAGGCCCGCGCCCAGCGTCACGCGGGTGTCGCGCAGGGCGGCGCGCAGCTCCTCGCCCAGCTGGTGGAGGGCGGAGCCCCGGCCGGCCAGCTGCAGCATGTAGAGCCCCGTGTCGGGGTCGCGCACGCAGCGCCGCAGCAGCTGCACGTACGTGAGGTTCTCGTGCGTGTTGGGGTCGAAGAAGCCCTTGGTGTCGTCGCTGGGGTCCTCCAGCACGCGGTTCATCTCCTCGTCGAAGTAGCCGCGCTGGTAGGCCACGTCCACGGGCACGCGGTGGCTGTGCACGGGGTCGATGACGCCGCCCGTGGCGATCTGGGCCTCCAGCAGGCGGATGCCGTGCTCGCGCACGATGAGGTCCTTCTTCATGGCCTGGAAGAGGGAGATCTGCTGCCCGGTGTAGGGGTCAGTGTAGCCGGTGACCGCGCGCTCGGCCGACAGCAGCTTCTCCTGGAGCTCGCCGCCCACCACGCCCGCGGCCACCGCCTCCTCCACGGACAGCTTCTGGTTGCGCACGGGGTCGATGACGAAGCCCGTGGCCGCCTGCGCTTCCAGCAGCACCAGGGCCGTGCCCGGCCGCAGGACGCCCTTCCACATGGCCTGGTAGATGCTCATCTTCTCCTGGCGCCCGGGCTCGTCCTTGGTGGGGACCAGTACGCCCGCGATGCACCCGGTGCCCTCCAGGTAGCGCCTCACCACCTCGTTCTTTGTGACAGCATCCACAGAGGCCTGCCCGGACTCCAAGGCTTGCAGCGTCTCCCTGCTTATGATGGATGAAGTCAGCAGCTCAGAAGCTGTGATGTGTTTTCTGATACCTCTGAACCATAGCGGCTTATTGTTCTTTTCTTTCTCACTGATTATCTCAAAGATCACCTTTACCACCTTTTCTAATGCATGTGCTGTGTCCGTCTTGTATTTTCGTACTAACTCTAGTTTTTTTTCCTCTGTCACGTATTCAGAATTCAGCAATTCCCAGACTGATGGCCTCTGGCCTTTAAACCGCCCCACTATCACTTCCACCCGTTCAGCCTCAAGCGCTCGTCTAGTGGTCTCATCGATAAACTGGGATTCCTGTTCATCCTTGAGCACTGGGAACAGAGCCCAGCCTGTCTTCTCATCTCGGTGGCTCCTCTCCTGCAGTTCCTGGTAAGTCACCTTCTCCTGAGTGTTGGGATCTACAAACCGTTTATTCATACACTTCTGCTCTGCCACCAGTGGGTACGTGTCCTGGTCCAGACAGCCGCGTTTGTAGGCAGTGTCCAGTGGAAGCCGGTGGTGGTGCTGCGGGTCCATGACGCCCCCCGTGGCCACCTGCACCTCAAGCAGTCTGAGCGCCAACTCCCGTTTCACTAGCTTCCTCTGCATTGCCTGGAACAATGACAAGGTGTGTCCTGTGCCTGGGTCTGTGTATCCCCTGGCGGCCTTCTCAGCATTTAGGAGTCTCTCCTGCAGTTCCTCACCCACCAGGCCGGCGGCCACAGCATCATCCACAGAGAGCCTCTGGTGGCTGTGGGGGTCCAGCAGGAATCCCGTGGCCGCCTGAGCCTCCAGCAGGTGGGCTGCAAATCCCGTGGGGATACGCCCTTTCCTGCTGGCCTCATAGAAGCTCAGCACCTCGTGGGTGGAGGGCATGGTCAGCCCTGCGATGCAGCCGCTGCCTTCCAGGTAGACCTTCACGTGCGGCAGGCAGCAGAGATCCTTTCCCTCCGCTCCCTCATTGTGCAGCGCATCCAGGGTCTTCTTATCGATGATCCCTGAGTTAAACAGCTCTGCAGCCGTCACCTCCCCTCCAATGGCTGCCAGCCTGATGCCCTTGTTTTGCTCTTCTGTTTCTTCAACCGTCGTGGTGATGACCTTCAGCAGCTGCTCTAAGCTGACATTCCCAGCTTTGTACCCCTGGACAAGCTCTTTCTTCCTTTCCTCCGTGAAGTACGGTGAGGACAGCAGGTCCCAGAAGGAGACCACCTGCTGGGCAAACATGCCCACAAGCATTTCAGTAGTTTTTGACTGCAGGGCTTGCCTTGTGGCTTCATCAATGTACACATAGGTTTCTCCTTTCTTTACGATTTGCAGCATGTAGAGCCCTGTCTCAGGGTCCTCCACACAGCGCCGCAGCAGCTGCACGTACGTGAGGTTCTCGTGCGTGTTGGGGTCGAAGAAGCCCTTGGTGTCGTCGCTGGGGTCCTCCAGCATGCGGTTCATCTCCTCGTCGAAGTAGCCGCGCTGGTAGGCCACGTCCACGGGCACGCGGTGGCTGTGCACGGGGTCGATGATGCCGCCCGTGGCGATCTGGGCCTCCAGCAGGCGGATGCCGTGCTCGCGCACGATGAGGTCCTTCTTCATGGCCTGGAAGAGGGAGATCTGCTCCCCAGTGTAGGGGTCGGTGTAGCCGGTGACAGCACGCTCGGCCGACAGCAGCTTCTGGTAGGTTTCCCTGCCAAACATCCCGGCTGCGAACGCCTCCTGCACAGTCAGCTTGCAGTTCTCCACAGGGTCAATGAGGAAGCCGGTGGCCGCCTGTGCCTCCAGCAGCACCAGGGCCGTGCCCGGCCGCAGGACGTTTCTTCTCAGAGCCTCTGAGATGCTCATCTTCTCCTTGGTGTCCTGGATGAGGACCCCAGCGATGAAGCTGCCCCCTTCCAAGTACCGCCGTACGTGGTCCATCTCTGCCACCTCCTGCACGGTCCTCTTCCCTTGGCTCAGCTCATCTAGCGTCTTCTTGTCGATCAGCTGGGACCTGAACAGGTCGTTGGCTGACAGCTGCTTCCGGAGACCCCTGAAGGTGGCCTGTGAGGGCTGCCTCTCTGAGGCCTCGACTAGGGTGGTGACCGCAGTGACCACCTGCCGCAGGGCCGTGGCCCTCCCAGACTGGCAGAGTGCTGCCAGCTCCCGCCGCTTGTGGAGCCCTACATACTCTGAATGCAGCAGGTCCCAGAGTGAGATGCTGAGCCCTCTGAACCTCCCTGCCCCAACCAGCACCTTCATGGCCCTCAGAGCCACTGCTGTGTGGTCATCTACCTCTAGCGCCATGTCCTGGGGGAGTGGCAGCAGCCACAAGCCAGTGTCAGCATCTAGGACACAGCGCCCCTTGAGCTGTCCGTAGGTCACCTTGTCCCGTGTGCCTGGGTCGAAGAAGAACTTGCTGTCCTCATCCGTTGAGGTCAGCGTACTGCTTGTCTGCTCATCCAGGAGGCCGAGCCTGCAGGCTGCCACCTGGGGCAGGTGCACCCCGTGGACGGGGTCCACCACACCCCCTGTGGCCAGCTGCGCCTGCAGGAGTGGGAGGCCCTCGCTCCGAGGCACGAGCCCTTTCTCCACCGCCTGCCACAGTGAGAGGGAGCCTCCCGAGCAGGGGTCCATGTACCCAGTCACTGCCTTCTCAACCTGCTGGAGCTGCTCACTCAATGCCCCAGCCACCAGGCCAGCCTTGACCGCCTCCTCGACCGATAGTCTCTGGTTGGTCAAAGGATCCACAAGAGAGCCAGACACCACCTGGGCCTCCAGTAGTCTCTGCCCCAGGCCGGCGGGCAGGAGGCCATCCCTCACAGCCTGGGCGATGCTCACCTTGGCCCCTGAGGGCTGCAGCAGCACCCCGGCCACACAGCCCGTGCCCCAGAGGCAGGCCTGCACCGTCGGCTGCTCAGCGACCTCAGCAGGTGACTGCATGCCCTGTGCCAGTGCCTCCAGGGTCTCCCGAGTGATGATGCCGGCGTCCAGCAGCCAGACGGCAGGCACCCCACCACGGGGGCCAGGCAGCGTGACGTGGGCCCTCGCCAGGAGCTCTGCCTCCTGCACCTGCCTCTGCACGGCCGCCTGCAGCTGCTGTGTCGTGGTCCTCCCCTCCCTAAAGTCCTCCAGGAAGCCCCTCCGCTGCTCCTCAGTGAAGTGGCAGGACTCCAGCAGCTCCCAGAGGGACGTGCCGTCTTCAGCACCAGGCATGGCCTTCAGGGTCTTCCGCACCTGCTCATCCGTGGGAACCATAGGGGCACTTTCCGGCAGGGGCAAAAAGTGAAGGCCAGAGGCCTCGTCCCTTACACACTGCTCCAGAAGCTGGGCATAGCTGGTGTGTCCCCTGCCATCAGGCGTGGGGAAGGTCTTGGAGTCGGACAAGGCCAACACCACCTCCTGGTCAATGTAGCCACGCTGCAAGGCCACGAGCATGGGGAGGTGGTGGTGGCTGGTGGGGTCAATGACCCCGCCCGTGGCCACCTGGGCCTCCAGGAGACGGACAGCCTGCTCCGCAGGGACAAGGCCCTTCTTCATGGCCTGGAATAGGGACAGCAGCTTTCCAGAGAAGGGGTCCGGGAAGCCCGTGACAGCGCACTCAGCCCAGGCCAGCCTGCTGTAGAGCTCCGGCCCCACAAGCCCCCGGCGCACAGCCTCATCCAAGGACATGGTCTCCAGACTGTGGGGGTCGGTCATGGCCCCCGTGGCTGCCTGGGCCTCCAGCAGGGCCAGGGCCACTCCCGGCCCCAGCAGCTTCTGCTTCATGGCCTGGTAGAGGCTGAGCCGCCGGGTAGAGGTCTGCAGGAGCACACCACCCACGGCACCTGAGCCGCACAGGAACTTGCAGACGCTCTCTGTGCAGAGCAGGGCCTCAGGGCTGAGCGTCCCCGCCAGCACGCGGTCCAGGACCTCCTGGTCGATGACACCAGCCTCCCGGAGCTGGCAGGCAGTCACCCGGCCCCGCAGTGTGGGGAGGGCGACATCTGCCTGGCTCTCCACCTCCCTCTCCAGCAGCTTCGAGACCTCCTCCAGGGACACCTGGTGCCGTCGGAAGCTCTGCAGCAGCCACCGCCGGCGTGCCTCGCTGATGTACTCCGAGTTGACCAACTCCCAAGCAGACACCCTCCGTCCCCGGAACCGCCCGTGCTGCACCGACAGCAGCAGGCTCTGGAAGGCCTGCCGGGTGGCCTCATCTGCCAGCAGGGTCTGTGCGCTTTTAAGTGGCAACAGATAGAGCCCCGTGTCGGGGTCGTGCACGCAGCGCCGCAGCAGCTGCACGTACGTGAGGTTCTCGTGCGTGTTGGGGTCGAAGAAGCCCTTGGTGTCGTCGCTGGGGTCCTCCAGCACGCGGTTCATCTCCTCGTCGAAGTAGCCGCGCTGGTAGGCCACGTCCACGGGCACGCGGTGGCTGTGCACGGGGTCGATGACGCCGCCCGTGGCGATCTGGGCCTCCAGCAGGCGGATGCCGTGCTCGCGCATGATGAGGTCCTTCTTCATGGCCTGGAAGAGGGAGATCTGCTGCCCGGTGTAGGGGTCGGTGTAGCCGGTGACCGCACGCTCGGCCGACAGCAGCTTGGCAAACATCTCAGGCCCGATGACACCAGCCCTCAGCGCCTCCTCCACCGAGTATCTCCTGTTTTCTTTGGGATCAATGATGAAGCCAGTGGCTGCCTGTGCCTCTAGGAGGATGAGTGCCGTGCCCGGCCTGAGAAGCCCCTTCCTGTAAGCCTCGTGGATGCTGAGGGGCTCCTGGGACCCAGGCACCAGCAAGCCAGCGATGCAGCCAGTGCCTTGCAAGTACCTCTGCACTGAGTCCAGGCTGGCCACGTCCTGGGCCGTGGTCTGGCCATGTTCCAGCTGCTCATAAACATCCTGGCCGATGATCTCTGCTCTCAGCAGCTCTCCTGGAGTCACGGGGACCCTGAGCCCAGCAAAGGTGGTTCTGGCAGTGGCTGCAGCCTGCTCGTGGGTGGCCCTCAGTGCAACCGCCAGCTCCTCCACTGAGAGGGCCCCGTGCTTGTGCTGCTGGGTCAGCGTCACCCTCTGCTCCACAGGGACCGCCTCGGAGAAGAGCAGCTCCCAGAGCGACGTGGGCTGGCCCTGGAACCTGCCTACAGAGACGGTGGCCGTGACAGCACTCAAGACCTGCCGGGTGCTGTGCTCAATGAACAGGGGCCCCTGGGTCTCCTCCCCAGGGCTCCCCACTGAGATGGGCAGGAACGCCAGCCCCGTCTCCAGGTCAGTGACGCAGCGGGCCAGCAGCTGCCCATAGCTGAGGCTCTCATGTGTGCTGGGATCCAAGAAGCCAGCAGCCCTCAAGAGGTGCTGCTGAGTCTCTTCATCCAGGCAGCCGAGGCGCAGGGCAGCCTCCATGGGCAGCCGGAGCCGGCGGGTAGGACACACTAGCCCGCCCGTGGCCAGCTGGGCGTCCAGGAGCCTGAGTGCCAGAGGCTGGTCCACCAACTCCTTCTTCATGGCCTGGAAAAGGGGAACGCGGGTGCCACTGAAGGGGTCGTGGTAGCCCGTCACTGCCTTCTCTGCCACCTGGAGCTGCCTGTGGAGCTCAGGGGTGACCAGGCCTGCCCGAACCGCCTCATCCACCCGCAGCTGCCGGCCAGTGACTGGGTCCACCAGCGTGCAGGTGGCAGCCTGAGCCTCCAGGAGCAGAAGCACAGCACCTGTGGGAAGCAGGTGCTCGGCCACAGCCTGGAAGAAGCTCTTCTTGTGCCCTGCGGGCAGCAGGACAACCCCAGCCACACCACCAGTGCCCTGCAGATAACGCCGCACCTCAGCGCGGGCACCCACATCTGGCACCGCCAGCCGGCCCTCCCGCAGGCCTTGGGCTGTCTCCTCGTCCAAGATCCCCACCTCCAGCAGCTCAGCCAAGCTCACAGCCCCACCCAGGGTATGGAACGTGACCTTGAGGGGCAGTAGGGCCAGCCCTGTGCTGGGCGCCTGCACACACCTGCCCAGCAACTCCCGGTAGAGCAGCTGCTCCAGTGTGTTGGGGTCCAGGAAGCCCAGGGCGCTTGAGCCGGGCCCCAGCTCCGACAGCCCATGCCACGTCTCCTGGTCCAGGAGGCCCTGCTGGCAGGCCAGCTCGGGGGCCACACGCACCCCCCGGATGGGGTCCACCAGTCCCCCAGTGGCCAGCTGGGCCTCCAGCCAGTTCCACCCCAGTGCCCTGTCTACCACCTCCTTCCTAATGGCCTGGAAGAGGGCCAGCTTCTCGCCCCCATAGGGATCAGGGTACCCAGTGGCCGCACGCTCAGCAGCCAGTAGCTTCTCCTTGAGCTCCAAGCCCACCAGGCCCTGCTGCAGGGCCTCAGACACGGGGAGCAGCTGGCCCTGCGTGGGGTCCACCAGGCCCCCTGTGGCTGCCTGGGCCTCCAGCAGAGCCAGCCCAAGCCCGGAGGGCAGGAGACCCTGCTTCATGGCAGCATAGAGACCCTGGGCCCGGCCCAACGCCTCCACCCACACCCCGGCGATGCTCCTGGCCTGGGGCACAGATGGGGTGCCAGCTCCCAGCACGGCTTTCACGGTCTTGGAGACAGCAGCCGGCCCGGTGCCACCGATGACTAGGAGGTCACGAGGAGGAGAGGCGTGGCCGTTCATCTTGCAGAGCTCAGCGAGGACCACTTCTGCTCCCTGCGGGGTGGAAAGCTTCTGTTAGGGGCCCTGCAACGTCCCAGGCAGGTGGGAGGTCCACCCCGCACCCTGGACCCACCTCTAGTGCCACCAGCCCTCCTGAGGAAGGAAGGGCAGCCTCCAACTTCAGCCCCTCCTCTCACCCTTGGGTCCCAGGTGGGGCCACGGGAGCACTGGGACCCCAGCACAGCCTGCGGGTGTCGCCGGATCCGCCTTGTCCTACAGGCCATCTTCTGGCCACACCCTTGTCCCACTCCTCTGGGTGTCCCAGTGCAGGGGATTGGCCTCCCGGCCCCCTTGGCCTCCAGACTCCTCCTGTCTCCTTCAGGGCCCGCCCCTGCCCCATCACCCCTTGAGCAGATTCCACCGCCGGTGCTCTTCCCCGCTCCCTGCCCAGCGATCCCTCCAGTCTCCCCAACTTGACCCCCTGCTGCTCAGGCCTCTGCTTCCTCCTGGCTCCCCACTGGGCTTCCCAGCCAGATCCCCATCCTCTGACCTGCCCGGGTATCCCGCCTCAGCCTGCCAGCGTCCCCTGGCCCATGGCCACTCTGTGCCCACGCCTGGCCTCGGCAGCCCAGGAGGACCCAGAGCTCACGCTGGGGTGCTGGTGCCACGGGTGGGGCCAGGCTCGGGTCTCCCGGCCCTGCTGGTCCCTGATTGCTGCTCAGCGCCCTGCACCTCCATGGCCGTCCCCCTCAGCCAACAGCTGTGGCCCCGGTCCCCTGAGCGGCGGTGACCAGTGCTGACCCTTCTGCTCCACTACAACCATACACCTCCCTCCTCCACCCCTTGGCCGGTCACCTCTCCCCAGCAGGCACGTCTAAGACCTAACCAAGACCTAACCCCCAGCACCTGCAATTGTGACCTTATTTAGAAACAGGATCTTTGCAGATGTGATGACGTTATAGGTTAGGGTGCAGTCACACTGGTGCAGGGAGGCCTTATCCCAACATGACAGTGTCCTCATGGGAGACAAATGTGGGGAGGATGCCCCGTGAGGGAGGGAGATGGGACACGCAGCTTCAGGCCCCAGAAACAGCAAATGCTGACGTGCGGATCCCAGACCCTGGCACCCTGACTGTGGGAGAGTAATTCTGTGCTTCGAAGCCGCCCAGACGCCCAGGGGCCAGTCCACACCCACGTTCCAAAGAACCACACCCTCAGTCCTGGGCCCGGTTACACCCATCCTCACCTCCTGACCAACTGCCCAGAGCCCCTCACACCCTGGCCCACTTTGCAGGTGAGCTCACTCAGGTAAGGGTGACCCTCCCAGCCGGGGAGCGGACCTCACCACGGGAGGAGGGACTGTACTCCTGGCCCGTCCGGCAGTAAAGGCTGCAGCCAGAGAGAAGAGACTCAGGGACAAGGGTGAGGGCGGGCGAGGGGAGCAGGACTGGGTCACCGAGAGGAAACCGTGGGCCCCACGCCCCTGGCCCGACCCACAGTGGCAGCAGGGGCCGGGATCGGTCCTCCGTCTCCTACACGGCTCCCCAGGACGAGGAGTATGGCGCCTGGGCAGTGGGGTTCAGGACCTGGTGTGACCGCGGTGCCCTCATCTCCTTCCAGCACCCTGGGCCAGCCTGTCCCCCTGTCCCCAGCCTCCTTGCCTTCCACCCCAGGAGCCCCCCAAGGCCGATCCCTGAGCCTGCCACTCGCTGCCGGGAGCCCTGCTGCCCGCCCACCCAGGGTCCAGCCCGCTCCCCCCATACCATGTGCCTCGCTCCAGGGCTGGCTTCAGACAGTGTGGGCTAGCCAGAGGGGCCCGGGAAACAGGGCCACAGGCAGCCAGAGCCACGCCTGTCAGCTGCCGTCCGGCAGGGACCAGGGTGGGAGGGAAGGGGGAACCTCACCACTGACAAACCGGGGAGGGTTTCTGGGCCACAGGGTCAGCGGCCACCGGGTGGGCCCTGTGGGCGGTGCTGTCGGGGAGCACCAGCGGCCAGAAAGGAGGCCCAGAGGAGCAAGAGGACCTCAGAGCACAGAGGCGGCTCTGAGAGGGAGAGGGCTGTGGCCTGCTGGCCATGGGGCCAGTCAGGGGCGGCCGGGTAACTGCAGCTGGGCCGAGGCCTGCTTGGCCATCAGTGACCTTGGGGCTGGTTTGAGCCCCCCGGATCCCATATCAGGCAGGATGTGAGGAGTGGCCTGGGAGTGGGGGCCTGGAGTCTGAAGTGGGGACCTCGTGGAAGCAGCTAGACAAAGGGGTCCGGAGCTCAAGAGAGACAGATCTGGGTGCATGAGGCGTGTCCGGGGCCTCGGGAGTGGGGGCCCTGGGCAGACCAGTCTCAGGTGTCCTGGGAAGTGATGGCAGAAGGCGTAGGTGTTCTTGCAGCTGGGCGAGGGGCCGACAGAGTCCCAGCACTGGAGCGGGACTCTGAGAGAAGGACTCCTTCTGGGGCTTCCTGGGTGCAGGCCCCTTCAGGGGATCCCAGGGGACAAGAAGTAGGAGGACAATTCCTGAGGAGAGTGGGGCAGCGCCCTCCCCCCAGGGCAGCACACCAGTCTGAGCTGGGGTCGCAGACGGGCTCGCTGGCTGTCCTCCTGAACCTGGTAAGGTTTAGATGCTCAGTCACGTCTGACTCTTTTGTGACCCCATGGACTGTAGTCCACCAGGCTCCTCTGTCCATGGGATTCTCCAGGCAAGAATACTGGAGTGGGTTGCCACTTCCTTCTCCAGAACCTAATAAGAAGAGAACCAAATGGCCAGGTGCCCTGGGCTGGCACAGGGAGGCAGTGACCTTGGCCTTTGGCCCGCACCAGGCAGCAGAGTGCTGGGTGCAGGGAGCAGAGATCAGGGGCCAGACAGAAGCCTGGCTGGGAGGCGGGAGGCTGCCGCACAGCCCCTCCCGCCCCCGCCTCCAGGGAGCCTGGGGTTGGCGCCACGCAGGGGTCCCTGTGGCCACCCTCGCCAACGGCAGGGAGCTCCCTCCAAGGGTAAGTGGTGGCTTCCCTGACCCAGCACCGGGCCAGAAGCCCGTCCACCCTGTCAGTTTGTCAACCCGACCGCCGAGCGCCCTGGGCCCTTGGACTGGCTCCAGCAGCAAACGCCCCCCGCCCTGCAAGGCAGGGGCCGGGCAGGAGGAACCGGACCTGCAGGGCCCCACCCAGGCGCGCAACCGTCCGCCCGGAAACCGCGGGGCAGGTGAGACCCCTGCCCGGCAGGCCACGTCTCCCACGCCCAGGCGGGGAACCTCAGCGTTCCCACCTGCGCAGGGGCGGGGAGCTGGGGGCCGACGGGCGGGACCCCGCCCCCCGCCCCTCGCCCACCATGGCTAGTTGGGAGGGAGCCGGGCCTCAGCGCCCTGCTATCCCGGACCCTGAACTCCCGGCTACCCCCGGGTGCGTCGCGCCCCCACCCCAGCCCCTGCAGGCCGGGGCGAGACCCCCGCCAGGCGTGAGCGCGCGGCCCCACCTGCCCAGACGGCGCCGCAGCGCTCCAATCGCAGTCCCTCAGCTCGCCGCGGTGCCCGCTCCGGGCGCCTCCCGCTTTAAACCCGCGCAGGCCCCGCCCCCGGCGGCCCCGCCCTAGTTTG